TAGGGGGAAATTCCCCGTTCACCTAAGCCTCATCCATCTCAAATCCAGCCTCCAGGTATAAGTGGTACCTATGCACAGGCTCATTAAAGTTTTTCTTAGGCAAGTTGCTAACTCGAGAGCCTGAAGAGCTAGAAAACTGCAGTTTTTAAAGGATGTTCCCTGTCCAAGTAAGTCTCAACGAGCTCAAACCCAGACTTCAGGTATTTGTGGTACCCACGTGCGGGCCCGTGAAAATTTTATTCCAGTAAGTTGCTGACTCTGGAGCCATGAAAGCTAGAAAGCTGAAATTTTAAGGGGTGCTTCCTGCCAATTCTGGCGGTCAGTCTTAATTTGTTTAGCTAGAAGCATTTACCGAACAAGGCAGCCCGTGCTTTGGCCAATTATCAGATATTGAATGAATGTATCTTTAAAAAGTACAAAATTACTCTTAGTTTTTCGAATGACGATGAAAAGAGGATTTTTTGGCATATTTTACTCAGAAAATGTGTTAATTATCAAACATGAATGTAAATAAAATTTAACGTCTGTCTGACTAGGTACCATTGATGTGGTTCTCGGTTTTATGCTGGAAATACCATGCCGAGCTGTTGGGACGCCGGAGCCATCAATCGCTTGGGAGAAAGATGGTTTCCAGGTATATTTCTTTTAATTAATACACATTTAAGTTTGAAGTTGATTAAACTGCCAAGAATTGTCAATTTTTGCTTAAACTCTTTGGAATACTTAGACCAGTCGCTTTTCATAGAATGGGTCTTCAGTTGTGCGCCTGTCAGATTTTCCAGTTATTTTGACAGATATTGCGTCATCCTGTGGTTAGCCCGCTCGTGATTCTGATGTTCATTTCTTCTCTTAAAGAAATACCGGTTCAGCGGCTCTTTCAGCAGAATCACTCAGCAAGACTCTGGCCTTTTCGAGATGTTTTTGAGCATCAGCTGCTCGTACCACCACCGCATTGAAGCGTCTTAATTTGCCCATGAACTGAATTGAATGCCGAATTTTTAATTTTTTCAAGCCTGTTCAGTGTTTCAGAGTTATCTATTTAGTTGCAGTCTTGACTTACGTTCATCTTCAGTTGAAACAGTTGATTTGAGTAATTCCAGATTATCGCCGATGATGTTGTTCACATTGATGGAGCTGGAACAATACGTATCGAGCGAGCACAGTTGCCGCACCGGGGGAATTATAGATGCATAGCAACAAATCCGGCTGGACGAGATGATCGCAACACACTTGTTATCGTTCAAGGTATGGTGCACTGACGCAAATTTCTGACCGTTTTGTCAAAAGCAAAATCAAAACCTCTCTCAAAATGAAAAACTGATGCTGATATGTGCATAGTGTAGGAGCAAGTAGCACAGCTGTCCTGCCAAACGTCACTAGATTCGGACTGTACCAGTGTGGGAAACATCAGTCTATCCAATCAATCGATTTTTTTCGACAATGAATTGGTGCCGAACATATCAGGGTCTCGGACTGTCACCAACTTGCTTCCGAACCATCGGAAGGAGGAAGGGGCTGCATGGATGTATTACAGCTTGGACTACCTCCGGGTCTTCAGTCTCTTCTACAGAATAAATTACGAGATTTTTGGCTTAAACAAAATTTTTTTTGAAAAAATTTCAAAATTTCACTGAAATTTAGAACCACCTACAATCTCGCCGAGCACTTTATCGGATTACACGACGGTTGAGGGCGATCGTATCGAACTGCGTTGTTTTGCAACAGCTAATCCTGCGCCGAGCATATCTTGGAGTCGGAAAGGCGTCGCGATAACGGAGGACACAGATCGGATGGAGGTGTTGGATGATGGCACACTTGTCATTGACGATGTCGAGGATACCGATGCCGGGCACTACATCTGTAAAGCATCCAATGCTGCTGGCCACATCGAGAAGGTCATTCGACTAAGTGTGATATGTAAGCTTCTCACTGCATATTTGACAAATATATTGGAGTACCTGCGACGGTTGATAATTCCCGTTTTAGTGCTGAAGATTTAGGATGGAGGCACTGGAATTACAAGTAATATATTTGGTAGACATACGGGTGCAGTAGGAGAGGAGATTAGCTAGTACTAAATAAAAAGTGAGGGATTAATCACAATGACTTTAAGTATCTTAGAGAGGTTGCACCTTATCTCTTCGTCCCGGCGGTCCTGAAAAAATTCCTAATAAAAAGGTGGGTTTTGCACTTCACACATTCAAGCCTGGGTCTGAAACACGGCCCTAAAAAAGCAAAAAAAAAATTATTATCTCGGGAACCAGAAGGGCTAGAAGGCTGAGATTTCATGCTATGCAAGGATCTCACAAGCGCAAACTTAGTGTTGGTCTGTGCTTAGGTCGCGAGCACAGCCGTGTGAATGTTTTGGCGCTGAAGTCACTAACTCGAGAGCTAGAAAACTAGGGAATTTTACAAGGATGTCTCTCGCCCGTGTACAAATCCAAATGTTTCAAATTCTGATTTCACGCAAGCTTATGTTTCATGTACCGATATGTGAAACTTTCAGTGGGGAATTTTGCAGCTTGGGAACTAAACAACATTTCGGCTGCATGCAACAAAGTGCAAAGCAGTGCAACTTCTTAACAGCAAACGTCCAGTGGGTGGAACTGCGCAAAATGCATGATCGCACCGTCTACCTTGGTGCGCCCCGTTGTTTCTTTTTGATCTCATAATGGATAGGCCAATGAGAATGCTGCAGTACCCACAATTGTTACCATGCGAAAGTCGCCTCCATCATCCTTTTTTAAAGAAAATCCGAGCCTTGAATTCTGCATTTCTTCTTATGTTTGTATTTGTTCTTTTTTGCAGCTGCACCTGATATTCCGGATCAAGAAACGATCGTAATAGAAACAGTTGTTGTTGGGCAACCGTTTAGCCTTTATTGTCCTGTATTCTCGACTCCACTACCACAGGTTTGTAATTTTATTAAAGGATAAAGAGAAAATGATGAAGTAAAATGAAGGGAAGAAAAACGAAGCAAAAAGCGAAGTGGGAGTATGGAAATATTTGTAATAGGTAAGAAATGTTTCGGTCCATTAAGTCGTATACATTTCTT